GCTATTATACTTTAGCGAGCTTTGATGCGGAGTCTCGAGTAACGTCTTTGTTTTTCGATTCGTTTGATTCGGGTGAATGGAAAAGACGATGTTACAAAGGGATCCTAATGAGGAGCCAGGATTTGAATTAGGTATTGTAATTCGTTCCTTTTGAAAAATAACTCTGGTGAAAGAGGATCTCGAAAGAAGATGGAAAAATGTACGGTTCAAAGAGATGCGAAGCAAGTTTTTTGTTGTTTGGATTTATGACGATGTATCTCTGTAGTTGTTCCTAAAATAATTTTTTGCTGCGAACTGGTTCATTTTGAGCAAAAAACCCAGGAGACATTTTTTTTTGTTTAGAGTGAAACAGGGTATCGAAAATGAAATTTTAAATGGTAAACAAATAATAAGACAAAAAGTTACATTGGAAATACATTTTAGGGGTTGCGTTTTCCACCCCTTACAATCATGGGATAAACCAAACAAAACGTCAGGTTAATTTCAATATTGTAACTTTTTTAGTGCTTGTGAAAAAAATTGTTATACAAATTTTATGTACCCCCTTTCTTTATATGAAAGATCCTATCTTTTTTTTGATGAGGAATCACCTCCTTAAATGTTTTGCACTTATTTAGTTAGATATCTATCATATTCTGAGAGATCTTATGAGTAATGGAATGGCAGAAAATCTGTGCTTTGAATGAAAAAAGGAATTCCGCACACAATTTGGATAATACTATCCATGTACGTCAAGCAAATTGCCATCTCAAAAGATAATCGTATTAGTTACGTCAGTGAATTTGAAATACTTTCACGTTATTATTGATTAATTCATTGGAAAATCGTTAAACTTACCTGCTCCTGACTTATACTGAACGATATAGCTCGTAATGGGACTATTTCCGGCGTACGGTTGAGTCCAAGAAACTCCTAGGGAGCGTGAGAACTGATCCATCACTCGAACGTTTCTCGGCGGTTCAGGAATTTCTTGCACGATCAACTGAATATTCATATCGTCAGTGCCGTATGCGTTCGTCGCTGAGCATATGAAAATACCGGTGTCCTGTCTTATGCTTCGCTCTATTCCCAACTCTGACACCATTCCTTCCGCCAGCATTTGCTCGCGTACTGAATATCTAGAGAGAGAAGTGATGAGACTATGCATATTGATGGAAAACAGTATAATAATAATTTGATGAAATATTAGAGTAGGTATTTATTATTCATGAACTGTAGAGACAAATAAAGTTATATTGAGCTTGAGGTTTTGGTAATTGGATTTGAATTTACGTGAAGAGTGTGTCTCATGATTATCGCTTCCTACAGGTGGCTGAGAAAATTCAAATGAATACAAATCATTTCATTTGTTGTGATTATTTGACCTCCTGCGTTCGAAGTTGTGATATCTTGATGTTTTATTTGAACAGATAAANTACAAATAGAAATGCAACAGGATAGAAATAGGAAAGTTGGAAATTTTTGTAAAAAAATAATACCTTTGGACAGACGAATCAAAATTCACCAACAATAGTTGGTTTAACAGAAATATCCATTATAGATGGAATAATACAAATGAACATTGGTTGGGAATTGTGGGAAGAAACATCCTTGGCCCTTTCTTTTACGATGATCATTTGAATAGTGAAATGTATCTTAATTTTCTATTCAATGCATTTTGATGGCTACTCAAATGAATTGCCACTGAATATCCGCCATGAAATACAATATTTTCAACAGGACGGCGCTCCTCCCCATAATGCAGCTATAGTAAGGGAACATTCAGATACAATATTCCCAAGAAAATGGATTTGAAAAACTGGACCAATTAACTGGCCAGATCGATCCTCAGATCTCACTCCTTTAAATTTATTTATCTAGGGATACATAAAGGATGAAGTTTTTTCAACACCAAGTACAGATATCGACCATCTCAAACAAAAAATAAGAGATGCATGTATTAGTATTATACCTATTATGCTAGAAAATTGCCACAGAAATTGTCTGAACCGACAATTTATGTGCGTTCAACAAAGAGGTCGTCAATTCGAGCATTTAATGTAGATTGCCATGTTGCTTTCATTTTCCGCATTGGTTTCATTTTTCCCAAAAATTCATGATAAAATAATTTTTTTTTCTCTTTGATTATTGCCACTGATGATGGTAGTTATTTCAAATGAAACGCTATAAAATATCAAATGTGATAAACCCTAGGATTGTGAACTATTACTGTATCAATATCTGTAATGTAAAAGGCAGGTCCGTATTTAAAAAAAAGTTGATAGTGGCCATGTTGACACGAAACGTTTTGTCAAATATTAATTATTACATCGTCATAGTACATTTCGAATACATTTTCTTTTTTCATTTTTTGATATTCTCCGAAATAACAATTCCATTCGATAAAAACGAAAAAAGGGAGTACCTCATACATTTTCTTCGACAATTGTATTGTCCCCGATGACAGTTACCTTTTTTCCCATTTACCAGTCTTCGTATCTGTTACAGTTTAGAATATAGCAATGTTACCACATGATAGAAGAAACGGCCTGTATATATGTTGAATGACAGAAAAAAAAATGGGTGCTTAAAAGCAACGCTGTCAAAATCAATGTATTTGAAAGGTAATTTCAAACATTCAACTTTTTCAACATCTCAACATATCAATCTTGCACACCAATCTCACTCAACCAAAATGCGTGCAATTTTAAAATTGTCAAAACATAGCCTCCAAATTTCATCGAATTATTTATTAGTATAGTTGATTAGCAAAACTTGGTGCATTCACGATATAACTTCGATAAATATTCATTAGTGATAAACAGTGTGTTACGCTGGCGCTCAATGTATGATTTATTGAGAGTGTTTCTTCTTTAGCAGTAGCAAAGAGACGAATTTCTTTTTCTACTCCAACACTGCTTTCTGCTTGTCTTTCTTTCTGCTTCTCGAAGTACCAAGGCCTTTGTGGATTTCTCTCGTCTACGTTTCGATACCATTGTCTATTGCCACTTGGCCTTGCTTCTCTTTCCTTTGGAACCATTGTGGATATCTACTTGGTTCTGCCTATCTTTTTTCTTCCAATCCTCTACGCTTCTGGACCTTTGTGAATATTCACTGGGTTCTGCGTAATCGCGTCGAATCGAGTCGAAATCATTTCAACTTATACAGAGGTTATCAAAACTGACTCGGATTGATTAAAGTACGGCGCTTTGCAGTTTCGGAAATTTTTGCTTCCATGGCCCGCTGGTCGATATCATCATCGTAGCCTGAGACGCTTTTGCCGCACTCCCACCAATTCGAGCTTCAGTAACGTTTGCTTTACTAACATCATTGCATGCTCCTTTCCACCACTATGAGTAGTTGATTGAAAATTTATGATAAGGTAAGTTGGGGCAAGTGCACCCCCAAAATTGAATAGTGACACTTCGAAAAATCGTGCTTGTTGGATTTGATAGGAAAACCAGTCAACAAATTTTCTGAGCAGTCATTGAAATGTTTAGCTTCAATAATGCGAATATCCAAGTAGTTTATTGAAATCTGAAATGTTTGTGATTTTTTCAATTTTATTGGGTTTAAAAACGCACTTGCCCCATCATTTGGGGCAAGTGCGTTCTCAGATGTGATAGAGGTGTATGATCGTATATTGAAATATTCCGGGGTAAGAGCGTCTTATTGCAANAGCCGAAACATTTTTGAAGAATCATTCAGAATTGATACTTGATACAAGATCTCATAAAGGCAACGCAACAGTAATTATGAAAAAATCCGATTATATTGAGAAATCTTTTGCGATTATTAATGATAGTGAGTCTTATGTCAAACTTAATAAAGGTCCTGTTTCAACAATACAAGAGAAGGCAAATAAAATCATCACAGCTTTGAAAAAGTCTAAAATGATATCAGAAGAAGAAGCAAAAATGTACATGATTTTATAATTTTATATCACCCAAATATTATGGACTCCTTAAAATACATAAACCTAATTTGAAACTGAGACCCATTATTTCTTTCACTGATGCTCCAAATAGCAAAATTGCTCAAATGGTCACAAAAAATTTCACTGATGCTTATAATTATGAAAATGAATTCTATATTAAGGATTCTTTCGATTTTTACAATTTTATAAATGAAAAATCATCACTTCCAGATTCTATTCTGATCAGCCTTGATGTGATTTCACTTTCCAGCAATATACCTATGAATCTAGTGGAGAAAAGTGTAATCAAAAGATGGAATGATATAAATGAAGAATGTTCAATACAACAAACAAAAAATTTATTGAAATGAATAATTTCATCCTCAATTCTCAGAAGTTGAGAAGAAACTTGTGCGAGCTAAGGACTAACGAGGTCTCACCTATAAACGTGTGATTCCCAACACGGTAGATACTATAAACAAATTCTTGATACAGCAATTGGGAGCTACTATTTCTCCTATTGTAGCTCAATACGTAATGGGCGATATTTTTGAAAACTTACTTCCCAAACTAAGTTTTGAAATTCCGTTTTTAAAGAAATACGTTGACGATGTCATTTGTGCAATACCTTATGACAAATCTAATGAAATTCATGATGTTGTTAATAGATATGATAAAAATTACAATTCACTATCGAAAAAAAAAATCAGACCCTTCCTTTTCTTGATACAAGAGTTATCTGTAAAACTGATAACTCCTTGATTACTGATTGGTATGTCAAACCTAATAATTCAGGAAGATATATAAATCACTATTTTTTCATAAAAAATCAGTTAACATCAATTTAATACTCTGTTTGAAAAAAATAATAGAAAAATTAGTACACCCTTCCCTCAAGCAAAAAAATCTCAGACTTCTTAGAGACATATTGATCGAAAATTCTCATCTCAGAAAACTTCTCAATGAAATGATTTTCAATACTGGCAGTGATACAAATTCCGATGTAATCGGCAGAAATGTATGTAATGATAGTTTGCTTATCAATGTTTCTTATAAATCTATACCTAACCTTGGAAATATATCTTCAAATATCATAAAACTGTTTCCCATTGGATAAAATATGCCAAAAAATATTAAAACTATAAAGAATTTGAATACTAAATTGAAAGATGAAACGGATACCTACTACCAAAAAGTAAAATGTGATTTATAACATTCCTTGTAACAATTGTAACTTGGATTATATTGGAACAACATCTAGAATTTTTAATGATAGAATAATTTCACATGAAAGTGATATAAAGCTTATTAAGAAATCATTCGCATTAGCACAATATTCTATAGAAATAGGACATACACCAAATTACTCTAATAACAAAGTTTTATACACAGAAAAAAATATTTCTAAACGCCTTGTTCTTGAAATGGTTGAAATTAATAAGTCTTCTGTTTGTATGAATAATGAAACTTACATTGATAATCTCAGCGGTACATACAGTAACTAACTGGAACTACATTAAAAACATAATAATAATGAAAATTGTATCAATCAATAACTCTTTCTTTAAAGTCTAAGATTATGAAATCATCTAACCCATTGAAAAATGACATTTATGTGAAGGTATGACATTTGTCAAACCCAAAAATGCAACTAGGATAAAGTTAACGTTTTGCTTATTTGTGACAGATATCCCCTTTATTTTAAAAAACAAGTTCGGTTAATTGTCATCAATTCATGTATACATAACAAACTCATCATGGAATTTACGTTTTCTGATGAATTTTTACTCATAAGTACATTTTCAGAGAGAAATTAAAAATGTGCTAAAAAATTTCAACATGACTGGTGCAAAGTTTCAATCACTGAACGTCAGTGGGTCGCAGTTGGCCGCATCATTCCAAGTTGAATTCAAAGCACAAACAAGTGCCGAAGTTAAACTTCACAGAAACTTTTTGAAAAAAAAAGTTTCCCATATGGTGCACACTTCAATGGTGACACTGTATATATTTCCATTTATTAACATATGCACTGCTTCAGTTCTATTTGGGGAACAGCAAGTGAATCTGAATAATTCGAAACATTTATTTAATACCATATTTGAAACCAATATTAAAATTATGTACACCAAACTATTTATTGGACCTGAATTCATTCTATAAACTTGAAATCAGATGTTTCATTCATTCATAATGCAAAGAAATGAAACTCGAATTTCATTCGAATTGGACATATTTACAATCATGCCACAAGACAATCCAAATCACTGTCAAAAATTGAAATACAAATACTGGAAAAAAGTCCATATATCACGATGGGATCATTATATATATGTTATGTTCATCATGAAATATTTCATTTCTGTTATTTCATTATACTTTGTAGTTAGTTATAGTCCCTGATTATGACTTCTTGGCCCAATAAACAATTGAATTGAAAATCTCATCATTTTGCATCATTTGCATCATCATTTTGCAACAAAAATAATCATTGAGGAATGGATTTCCTTCACACTTGATTCCATTATGTTCTCATTTCATATAAACTTCATAATTTCATGTTTACATACCAACTGCCTTTTTCCATGTAACAATGGGTTTTGGGTAGCCCTCTGCTTGACAATGTATTATTGCTTCTTGTCCGGCAGCAACACTGGCATCTGATGGTTCCACTGTCCAACGAGGTGGTACTAGAGACAATTTATTTTTATTTGGTAAGTTGTGAATATATTTTGGAAAATCGATATGAATTCAAGTTTTTCACAAAATCATAAACTCGATGTCGTACAAGAGAATTTTTAAATTTCCTCATGTTGTGTCAGTTTTGTTTCAATATAAACTTTTCACATAGGTATCTGTTTTTTCTCCATTCGATTATATATGTTTAACTGATTGCTAACACCTACTGAGTCGGGTTTCAATAACCATTTTTGAGTTGAAACGGGTATATTTTCAAGACAGTTTAATTTTTGCGTGAGAAAGATTTTGAATTTCTTCTTCTCCATCTTTATATAAAATTGTGGAACACTTCCAAAGAAAGAGAAAAAACAATTGAATTTACAATGAACTCTTCACAAAAATGTTTATTATGCAAAGGAGTAACTTTCAGGCACAAACTAGACGAAAAAGTAAGCCCACCCGAAACAACTGCTTTCATGTAAACATCGAATTACACGAGAGAAAAAGTACTTTTGCAACAACTACTTTCATATGAACATTGAAATATTTTGTCATAGATGACAGTACGTGATGACATTAATGAGTAGTAGTAAATTGATAATATTATGAATGAAATATGTACTTCATTTCGTGATGTTATTCAGATTGGTGCTGAAGAGGCAATATGGCAAGTGTTTTATTTCGAAACATTGATGTCCGCCATTGAGGATGTCAGCGTTCGATATAAGTGAAATTTCATCTCTTTCATATACGATACTGTGTAACAATCCTGTGAATGATATCTGATTCAATCCCATAACGAATGTTTGAAATTCAAACTGAATGGAAAAAAGTGTTGTTTCAAAAGTATTTTTCTTTCGTGTCATTCAATTATTAGTTTTAAAATGGTAAGTTACTTATAATAATAATAATATCGTTTATTAGGCATAAAATAACACATTTATAATAGGACGTAGGTCACTGAACGTGGTAGGTGCATTCTTTTTCGGAATTGGAATTCTATTAGCAACCTTTCAAGGATGCTGATAGAATTTCAACGAGTCTCAAGGACTCGTTGAAAATATGTTTAACTTCATCAATACAGTGTGGTATCACTAAAGAAATATTCTGCATGATCTATACATTTTTGTAAAGGGTTTATTTTGAAATTAACTGCTTCATTCCTTTGGTTGGAAGTTTTCTACATTTTTTACGAGTATAGAAAGGGGAAGTAGGAAGCTAAAATCTTTCTCAAAAGTTCTGAATATTCTGAACATTTCAAAATCAAATAAAAATGTTACGTTATTTCATCAGTCGAATTCAATGAAAGTTCTAATCACATAGATGAGACGAATATTGTTTGAGAAAAGGCGGAAAAAAGGATGTAGGTATAGAAATTCAGTTTTACCCTTTTCTCACTCTATATAGACAATCCGCATCTATTTTATTACGCGGTAGCAAAAGCAAACAAGTTTTTCGATTGGTGCGGTAGTCTAAAATTCTTCAATAACATTACAGTAAACCAAGTATTCAGCATTAAACGAATAAGCGTTCAATTATTTTTGAATATTTCTGAGGCCTTCTTCTTCATATTGATGAAAAACAAAGCGAAACAGAACGGATTACTACTTGAAACCTTCTAATTCCGCTGACGACGGTAATTCTGAGTACTCAGGGACAGTCAATAAAAAAAAACTATGTCTGCATGCAAAAAAGCAATAATGATTACCATTAACGGTGAGAGGAACGACGTACTCTTCAGCTCCTGCTACGTTGCTCGCGATGCAGGTGTAATTTCCGCTGTGAGCGGAAGTCACTCGATCAATTATTAATGACGAGGCAAATTCATCGATTCGTCTTATCACAGTTCCTAGGGCAGCGTTATTGGAGACCACTTTTCCATTCCTTTCCCAGCGGAACGTTATCGGCAGATCGCCCTCCATTATCTGGCAAGTGATGGCCGCTCGCATTCCCTCTTTCAGCAGGTTCGTCATCGGGTTTATTGGCAGGATCTTGGGACGAACTATAAAAGAATATTGCGGTGGGATTTATTGAAATGCATTGGGGTTTGTTCGTTCGAGGACATGTTGGATTTCGCGTCTGAAAGGTGTCGAATTGGAATAGATCACTTTTGATATTTTCAACCTCAAATTTACTATTGATAGATATTGTATACTGAGGAACAGAAAGTAATGAAATGATGATGATAATAATGATAATGATAATAATGACAATGGTTTGTCGAGGGGCGGACCGTTCTAATCCCCAAAAGCTTAGATTTGTCGATTCCTGAGAATGACAGACCCGATAACATGCTTGAATTCGTTTTATAAGTTGTTTATAAGCACCTTATACACACGAATACTCACTGCAGTTGACCGAGTGTTTGAACAGATATATGCGCAGAGAGGGTCGAGAAGAGGAGTCGCTGGATGTAAAAGGACCCTGCTCATTGATAGATATGTAACGCAGAACTCGATACAATATAAGCGTAACCTGTCTATGGCCTGGATCGATTACCGCAAGGCATTTGATACAACATCTTATGACTTCATCTTGCATTTGCTCAGATGACTTGCAGTACCCGACGAAATAGTGAGATGTATTGAACAAGTTACACTACTCTGGCGAACTCGCTTCACCATAACATCTGGTCAAACCATAGTCCAAACAGGGAGGGTTACTTCTAGAAGGGGTGTATTTCAGGGCGATTCCCTCAGTCCTCTTCTCTTTTGCACCTCACTATTGCCATTATCCGTTGCGCTCAGAAATACTCGAGGGTATAACTGTGGAACCTCCGGAAATCGGAGGCACAAAGTCACTCATTTTTTTATGTGGATGATCTTGAACTTTATGCCTCTGCAGAGAAGGATCTTCATCAGTCCTAGAGGGTGGTGGAAGAGTACACGCTATCGGTGTGAAATTCGGGATGGACAAATGTGCAATGGTCCATCTCAAAAGAGAACGATGTGGGGACTACGGAGATAATGTGCAGCTCGTAGATGGAAGCATCCTACACCATTTGTATGCCGGGGAGACGTATACTCACCTCGGGGTGGAACAAAGCCACTCACAGTCAGTGAGTGAGTTTACAGCAGTTACAACACATATACTACTATTCTATAGGACTTTGCATCCAAAATCGTTTGTTCCACAGTTGTACTCAGGATTGGAGCATTTTTATTTAGGGCAGCTACTCGAGCAGCTGATGAACTCGGTTTAGTTCTCGATACTGAACGAGGTGATCACAACTTTGTCACTGAATTGGAACCCGTCCAGCAAAAATCTCATAAAGAAGCCGTAGAGAGCACCTCACTTCTGCCGATACACAAGGATGAGCCAGTGCATGTGGTCTTCTTCAATAACATTAAAGACCTTAGCTCATCGAAGCGCCTGACTTTCGCTTTCCTCAGGTCGAGTTGGAAACTGAGGGGTTCATCATGACTTGCCAGGATGGTGTCTAATGCACTTGCTGTCAGCATGTCCAGCATATGCAGTCTCGGCTTATATCCATCGACATAACGCGGCCCTAAGAGTGCTATACTACCATCTACGGCGGTATTGACGAGACACCGGTGTTGCCCTACGCTCCGGGGGATATTGAATCCGTTGTGAGGAACGATTATAAGCCTGATGTAGTCCGTGTCGACCAAGACGATATTTGTCGTGGAGTTTTCAGCTCCTGGCGAGAAGAACATCGCCCGAAAAGAGGAGGAAAACCGGATTAATTATAGAGTGGTCTATACAGACCACTTTGTCAAGAGATTTTTTCTGATTATTGGAGTCCTTGGTGGAATGATGCTCTTTCTACTCTCCAATTTCGAAATTATACCGGCTTACCTTACTGAAGCAGAAATCTTAGCCGGACGTATGCAGAAGGCTGCCATTCTTGGCTCACTGCGCTTGCCCAGGGCACATGATCCTCGGACCCATGAGTAGAAGATAATTGTAGATACCAACAATCGAGACATTGGGATGTAACTCGAGTTCAGATTGACACTACAATTTTATGAAAGTCAGTAATTTTCGTGACTATAAAGTATATGAACTCCAATTGGAATACATTTTGTGTGAAATAGATTATTCGGATGGACAACGGTGTGGGCAGTATTCAGATTCTATAATTTGAAAATTTATTTAACATTAAAAATATTTGTCACAAATATTCGAATGTTTGTTGTTCAATTGATTTATTTGAAAACTTCATTACACCAAATTTTATATTCAGCTCGTCACTATAACTAGTAAATTTTGAATTGCTGTTCAGTAAGCCAGTACAATGAATATGTCCCATGAATCAAATCATCTGAATGAACGAAGCTGAAAGGAACGAAGCTGAAGCGAACGATAACTAACATATTTCTCATCGCCCCCTCTGCCCGTAGATGAGGTACTAACTACTGTGTATAAGTACAATTCCATAATAGTAGTCACTGTGTAGTAGGTTGTGTAATCGAAACATTATTTATCAATCTGTAACGTACAAGTGCGCAATTAACGTTAGTGATGGCGGCTAAAAAGCAGAAATTAGACGTTCGATCCTTTCAAAGGTCTTGGACAAGTAATTATGGGTTTGTACAGAAAAGAGATCGAGCCATATGTGCATTATGTCGGGAAAGCGTAGTATTCCGGACATCTAGTGTTAACGATACATAAGGGATTTGAAGCTCTTTTTGCTGCTCGCATTGGTCGACCACTTTTGACATTTCATTACATCATTCATTAAGAAAGGCTATGCGCGCAGATCTCAAGCGGAAGTTTGAAATCTGTAACGGATACCGTTGTTGAAGTTGTCAACTACATTGCTGGTGGTTCTACATTAACTCTCGGACAACTTTTACTATAAATATACTCTCAGACAACTCTTAACAGAGCAATAAACGCTAGCTCAGCCGCAGTAAAGTGGTTTTTAGATTTGTTGAATGTTTGGGAGAAATTAGGTCATTATTGTTGCAAAAAATCAAACTCAAGTCGAGATAATAAAGGATGGATTTGAAAGTTGATGTTCCTAATTAATGTTACAAATCATCTCGACGAACTAAACTCTGAGCTGCAAGGATCGGGTCAAACTGTTCCAGATTTGTATGATTCCTAGAAGTCATTTAAAATGAAAATTTCAAAGAACACGTCAATTTTCATTTCTAGGATTTTGAAATTGACGATACTGATAGTTTTTTCTGGACTGGTAGTTGTCGCAGAAAAAATGTAGGTAGTTGGCCACTGTCATTTCGTCACGAATTATTATTTCGTCATCCTCATTCACGGTATTCCAACATGATTTATTCTACTGAAGCAAAAATAAAAATTGTTGCAACCTATTATCGAAATAATGACTCTTCAGTTGTATTGCCAATTGCATATGCAGCAAATTTCCTGTGAAGATTCCTGCACTGACGCCTTTCGAATATAATCCAATGCCTTTCGTGGTATTAGCCAGGGAGTATTTGTTTTCTGATAGGCGTCAGTCCATTCAATCTACTGTGTAGGTATAATCGAGACTTGCTTGAACGTTTAAAGTTCATTTCTTCAGATTTGGATAAGCTTCGAACTTCAGGTTCTGTTCACAACAGAAAACATGAAGTATCCCGTCCTGTCAGGAATGACAGATTTTTCTTTATTTGAAAATAACCGCATCAATCTTATGGTTATTAGCGGCGGAAAAGATATTCACAAGCAGTAACTATATTGATTACAACATTATATTTTGTTAGATAAGTTCAGAGCACATGAATAATTTACAATCTTACTAGCACTAAAGTAACTCAAGGTTTTCTGCGATTCCTTCGATATTTTGCACATTTTTCCTTCTAATTGAAATACTGGACACTGCACTATGATGTAATGTATTGTTGGTGCAACTTCACAAATGTGGCACTGTGGTTGATCTGCTGGAGATATCAAGTATTCGTGTGTCCGTTGTCACCCGAAGACGATTGTGGATACTAATAATCGACTCTACAAAATATTGCAGAATGGCTCCATCATAAGCGATTGAGACTGCCCCACAGAAAACGAAAGCAGAAAGAAAAATCAAGACCATCAGCCTAGAAATTGAGGATACCGTGGTGGAGAGCCAGGAAAAGGTGAGATATCTAGGTATGCTGATGGATAAAAACATGACAATCGGGGCTCATATAAGGAGAACAGCGGAAAAAGCTAACAAAGCCCTAGCGGCGATAGGAAGGCTGATGCTCAAAGCTAGAGGTCCGAGAGAGGCCACAAGAAAAATTCTGTGCTCAGTGGTGCATTCAATTATGCTCTATGCAGCACCAATCTGGCACAAGGTTCTACAGAGGGAGGTCAACCGAAAAGTCTTGCTAAGCACTCAACGCCGGACGGCTATCTATATAACTGGAGCATACAGAACCGCATCCACTAGGGCACTTTTAGTAGTAGCACGGATTCCCCCCATCCACATATGGGCTAGACAAAGAATGGAAGAGAGGTCAACTGAGAAGACCAACGCTAACACGACTATGCTCGAAAGATGGCAGGAATGGTGGCAAGAAGAATTGAAGGTAATCTCAATGGAGACACACACTTAAATCTATTAAAAGACTGTGTAGATCCTATGAATACCTACAGAAATTTAAAAAAATGATGACAATTTCGTAAAAAATGAAAAAACATTCCAGCAGGATTGTGCACACCCACATTATGATAATTGGGTGAGACAGTTTTTGGACAAACGTTTTCTAATGTGTTGGATCGGAGAAGGGGTCCAGTGAAGTGGCCAGCAAGATCACCTGATCTCACACCGATGGACTTCTTTATGTGGGTACACCTGAAGTCGAAAGTGTACTCTACTAAGCCTATAAATCTGGAAGACCTGCGACAGAGAAATATTCGGGAATGCCGATTGCTGACTCAGCACATTTCAAATAACGTACGGAACGCTTTCGAGAGTAGACTGTATTATTGTATGGAACTAGGTGGGGGTCATTTTGAATAATTTATCCGTTGATTTTGTTTCCACTGATATTAGTTGTTGTTGATTCACTTATTAAAATGACGCAAAAGTAC